AACGCAAGACGCAAAACGCAACGCAAGGCCAAAATTTAACGCAAATAACGCAAAACGCAATGCGCTCACCCCTGCTTACTACACAAAGACTTACTACACAAATGCAGACCAATATAGATACAATTACCTAATATAGATACAATTCTGACAAATTTTGGGGAGGTATAAGGCCAGAAGTGTACATACCTTGAGAGTCTCCAGTTCTTGGTTGATGTTGAGGAGAATTTGTAAGAAAGGGATTAGGATCAAAATTAAGATCCAAATGTGACAAATTATGAGAAGGTTGTAGGCTAGAAGAAGACATTCCTGTAAAGTATCCCTCAGTTGAGGGTATACTACTTCCGGTTCCAGTTCCTTCTTGGCCACCAGTCCCTGTCCCGCTTGTCCCAACATTTCGATAACGATAAGCATCTAAGGGATGTTCTTGAACATTTTCATCATCACTATCATTTGAATCAACCAAGATTGTTGTTAAAAACAGACAAAAAAATAAAATAATTGAAAGTTTCATTACTTTCAATTACCTAAATTATATAATTTTTTTATTAAAAATATTAAATTAATTAAAATAAAAATTTATTTAAAAATATATGTAAATGATTTATGAAATTCATTAAATTTTATATTTAAATTATTTCCCTTAAATTTTTTGTTCTAAATTGTACCTGATCTATTATGTATATGATTTTTACACTTTAATGATTGACTCTCTTTTTTGTAAATCTTTACAGCTTTTTTAAAAATTTTATATAAATTTTAAAAATTTAAATTACAAAATAATTAATTTTAAATCAAGGAAGAGAAAAAAATAATTCCAAGGTTTTGCCTTGCAAATTTTCGATTCAATGCTAAATAAATGACGTGCCGAACATTGCGGATTCAAAGTTGCGGACCGACTTTTGAGCAAAAAGTTAAAATGAAAATACATTGCATAATTAAATAAGTATATCAATTGAGGCACATAAAATTCTTAAGACTTTTATTTAGTTCTTTATTCTCTCTAATTAAATCGGCCTGAAACGGATTATGTAAAAAATGTGGGGATTATGAGTGATTAAAATGCCTATGAGGGGTATTGAGGGAGTTGGTGACAAGGCAGATATCCGATGATTGGGGAGAGATATCCATGTTTTTAGGTCATCCGTATGTTGGAACTAGATCTACAATTGAATTATAAGTCAGTTTAAGATATGGATTTTTATCCAAATGTTTTTCTTAACTTAGATATTCCAGTCTGTTTTTTGGGAAAATAAGTTATTCAAAAATAATCTTTTTTATACCCTAATATAATTTGTTTATTGTAAATGTCGATTTAATCATTTAATTTGTAGATTAATATGTTGTATATTTTCGTATATTTTTGATTTGCTTTAAGCTCGTTTATATGTATAGGCTGAAAAATTACCCTTTATTAATAATTTGTATTTTTTTTAAAAATGCAAATTTTGAAAATTTTGGAAGACCCTTAAGTTAAAAATTATCCTGTTTTGCTCCGCAGGCGAGAAAAAAACTAGTTTGCCGGATCAAATTATAGCGGGTTTTTGAATCCCGATGAAATCGAGATTTTATAAATTAGTGAGAATATTAGTGAACTTTCGCTTACCCAAAACCGAACCGATTAACCGAAACTGAGACGAAATTTTTTTCGAGAGTTAAGGAGTTATTAAGGATTAGCGGTGGTGTATAAGTGAATTTTTGGATATAAAAGGTTTGATATCGGGTGATAAAAGGGGTTCTAAATTGATCAAGGGTGATTTAGATGATATCAATGGAATAACGAAGAATATACGTTTTGCGGAAAAAAAGAAGGAATAAGAGTTTTTACTCCAACTCCCAATTAATCCATCATTTTCTCAAAAATAACCCATTTTTTTTTCTTTTTAGCGCCGCAGGCAAAAATTTTGTGAACTTAGGAAGGCCAAGTGAGAAATGCCTAGTTTTGTCAGGCTAAATCCCAAGACTAAAATTGAAGAAAAAATATTTCAAATATTTCAAAATTTTGCCTCCGACGGTGAAAAAGGAAGAAACTCACATATAAAATTATCTATGGATTAAAAGAGATATCAGATACTAAAAGAAAATATAAAAAATCCTCATAATCTTCAAAAGCCCACAAAAATCCGCAAATCCGCATTTTTAAAAATGATCCTCATTGACATACATATCAAAAAATTACAAAATGACAAAAATCCGCAGATATCGAAACCCTGGTTTAACCTTGTTTACATATCCTTAATCCACATATTCTCGAATTCAATTATTAAATTTAAAACTCTACCATAATAAATTAAAATGCACAAAACTGTTTCCTAGCAAAATTTTTTTTCAAAATTCTGAGATTATGTTCGAAAAAAGCAAAATTTAAACAGAATTTTAAACCATCTCTGATCAAATTAAAAAAAAAGACATTTTTTTAAAATTAATTAAAATTTAAAACAAATTTTTCACAAGTTTAGCTAAATAACTATTCTGCATATTAATCTGTTTTTGTTGTAAAAAAGTTTTTAAAATTAATTGCCAATTTTTAAATGAATTTTTAATGAATTTAAAAGTTTAAAAAATTTTATTAAAAAGTTAATAAAAACAAATTCCAGCTAGCCGGATTCGAACCAGCGACATCAGGATCACCGCTAAACAACTACAGTCCCACGCTCTACCAACTGAGCTATAGCTGGACATATTTTTGATTTTCTATTTTTTACTTTTCAATGAAGAAATTGGGAAAAAGAAATATTTTTTAATTTTTTATAATTTTATATTACATAGTTTATAATTTTATAGCATTATAAAATATTTATTGTTAATATTTTACTTATATATTAAACGTAGTCATATTTTATATCTTGTCTGATGATTTCGGCAGAGCGACATGGGCAGTGGTTAAATGGGCAGTGAGTGATTTGGGCAGTAAACTGTTTTTGAAGATCGTTTATTTTAATTGCCACATTTATTCAAATTAAATTTCACCCTATGTAAATGAAGAGACCCGCATAAATGGGAAAATTAAAATATTTTTGGGAAGAGATTTTGAGTGTAGATAGATTGGCAATATTATTTTGTATAGATATTTTAATATATATCAAGACTTTGATTCAATATTTTGGGTAAACGTTACGGAAATCTGTTAAAGTGAAATTGGCACTCTCGAATTTTTGTCCTCAAGTACAGAAAGTTTTTGGTCACTAAATGGAGGTCTGACTAACCGATTAGCACCTCCTTTTTATCATTATCATAAGATGGGATTTTAGCTACAAAGGATATATGCATTATGAATAATGAGCTAACTTTTTTTAGTTATTTTTAAATCACAAATTTTGAACAATCAAAATTTTATTTTTAAATTGTTCCCTGATTTGATGCATTCAACTTTACATTTTCTTATAAAGATAAAAGAAGCAAAAACAAAAAAAAACTTCAACGGAAGTGGAGAAAGTTGAGCAGTCAAAAACAAACAAAAAAAAGAAAAATTTTTTCCGTTATCATCTTTTATGTTTTTTTCTTCGTAAGCAACAACGCCTGCGCATTCAAGAATATACCTACACATTTATTTTAAGAGAGAGAAAAGGATCTACTAAGAAGAGGATTTGAGGGGGATATTGAGGACTTGGCTAGTTTGGCGTTAAATAGTTGGCGCGTCTGCTTTCCTTACTAAATAAAATTGTAACTCTGTAAAGATTGATGATGTTGTTAGAATATTCTAAAATTAAATATATGTTTAGTAGTCTTATAGTTTACGATAGATGCTAATATTAATTCCTCAAAATTTATTTTACGTTTTATATTAATTTGAAATGTTATAAATTAATTCAAATTTGATTCCAAAAATAATATCCGATCCGTTAAAGATTTTCTTCAAAGAAATTATTAGTATTTCGTTTTCCTCATCATATACTAATTCAGGAACACGCCGAAGTAGCCATAACTTGCTACGGCGCAAAGCCATAACTTGCTGGAAAATTTTTGGCCCTTATCTATAATTGGTACCAAACTTTTTAGCTCGATGAGAGGAACCGTTTAAATCTAAATTTGGTAAGATTCGGAAATCTTGACCTACTAATTCAAAATTAAGATAAACTAAATGTAAAGAATAACAACAAAAAAGAGAATAATATTCTGAAAATTTAAAAACTCCTCCCCAAAGAAATCAGTTCTCTTCGAGTAACATTCAGAAGAAATGTATAAGTTTTTCTCTCCCTCAACTTTCTCTCCCTCACCTATTTGCGCCTAAATATACCTTTATGTTTCAGAGATATCTGTTCCTAGTAAAATAATTTTCCCTCTTTTATTATAGTTTTTTACTATTCAAACACAAAATCTTCACTTTAGTCAATGTTAGCTTATAAAAATAAAAGTAAAGAAACATTAGTTTAACATACTACATATATTTAACTTTTTTTAATTATTTAAAGTCAAAAGCTTTCCCTCAAATTTTTTTAAAAATATTTATTTTATAGTGTTTAATTGTTTTAATATTCTTGCCAGAAAATAAAAATTTCTCAATTAAATTTTTAAAATAACATGGAAGATGAGGTTGGTTATTGAAAAATAAATGATAGGACTTCCATTTTTAAAAAATTTTTGAGAACTGATTTTCAAATTGATTGATTAATAATTTGAGAAACATTAAGGGTATATTTACAGTATCAAGATTCATAGCTTCGAATTTTACAGACCGATACTAGCATGTAATTTGAAAAAAAACTGAAACATCGAATAGGTTTTCTCATGAAGCTTTAATAAAGAAATAGTGTTCGTGGGTCTACAAAAATATCTCACAAGAAATTTGAAACAAATTTTTGTTTCCGAGCAAAGGGAGGGTGATAATATCTGTTCCTTGTTTAATTCTCTATCATATATGTACATAAGCTTAATTTGATCCCATTATTTAAAAGTTAGATAAAGTTATGCTAAAAATAAACTGCTCACATCAGTTATTTTTTGTAACCTTGTATATTAAAGAAATCATTATAAAATAAAAATTAAAAATATTTGCAGCAAAATGGCGAGGGTGGAGTACGGAGACGATGGAATTATGAAAAACTTAAAGCTGGGGACACGTAGATTTAATTATTTTAATTAAATTTTTAAAATTTGGATTTCTTAAAGATTTCTTTCGATGCAAGCGGGGACTAATAAATTTGAGACTCAACGTGGAATGACTGGTAAAAAGATAAATTAGAGCGTAAATTAAATTTTTAAACTTAAAATATAGCACCTGGAATGCCTCGTTTAAATATTACAATGGATAAAAAATTGGGGTTATTAATTAAATTATTTTAAAAATAATTAAAATATCTGGTTATTTAGTTATATTGAGCCAGACAGAAAATCTGAAGAATTTCTCCGTCCACAATGCGGTAATAATTTAATAAAATTATTTTTGCTTGAATTGTTATAATAATGAATCTACCGGTGCCGGGTGTTGGAGTTTTTGTTTCAAAAATTTTTCAAGTGTTTAAAGAACAGTATTTGGAATTATAAAAATTTCATGTACTCGTACTTCGGAAAGGCCTTATTTTTTCTTGTTTTCATACACAAAAACGAATACTAGTAAAACACTTCAAAATTTTAAAACGAGCACTAGTATTTACGGTATTAGAATTTGAGATAGGGACAATACTTAATAAATTACTTTAGGGGAAAAACATTGTGTAAAACATTGATTAAGGTCGGCGGATCTCGATATCTTCACCCGAAAAAAGTCAGGAAATCCGGAATTTTTGGTTGGGATATCTTTTGGTTGGGATCCGGAGTAAGGGTTATTCCTCTTAAAAATATAAGAATAATGTTTAAATGGTTTGTTATCTATTATTTGATAAATAATAAAAAATATTTGAGAAAATTAATTTTTAATTTTTTATAAAGGTACAAATTTATACGCATCACAGGCAGGACAAACACCGATAGGTGCAAACAGAAATCAGGTAAATTATAAAAAAATATGGTTATATTAACAATTATTTTTCTGTTTAGTGTCCCAATGTGGAATACAAAAAGGTATTTTATAATTGTAATAAATTCAAAGAAATATTTTCAAACTTGTAACTATTAAGGTCTAAATTATTGGAATCTTCAAAATAGGAAAATAAAAACTAAAAAATCTGAAATTAGGAATAAAAATTGGAATGGAATTTCAAAAAAAATATAAAATAATGATAGGGTCTTTTGAAAGGAGAACCCCCCTCTTTTGAAAGCCCTTAAATTAAATTTTATAAAAATTGAAAAATCAAAAGTTTATCATGTGTCCATAGAATTATTGACGACAATGTGATTGATTCGTTACTTGATGAATCTTAAGGGAAATATTTTTAGGTTCGAAATTTTATTAGAAAATAAAATTCAGAACCTAAAAAAAATAAATATTTAAAAGGAATGGGAAACAATTTTGGAGAAGGAAGGCGAAGGAATTTTGCCTAAACAAAGTGGGGATTATGGATTTGCTACACAGGCTGGAGAAGTGATTAAATTTAAATTTAAAAAATAATTGTTAAAAAAAGGTAAATATGGGAGCACCTCGAAATCAAGTGCCAAATATTCGTGGACGTTTACCCAATGATAGACGAACACATGGATTGGTAATATTTTTAAAAATATTTTACAAAATTATATACGAAAAATATGCAGAAATATGCATCAAGAGCCGGATTCATAAGTGCTTATATAGAAAGATTTAGCAAAAGTTTAGCCACCGGACATGATTCGAACCTGCGCTCTCCTCGTAGTTAATGCAAGACGCTTTCGCTCACCACTTATAGGAACTCTACAACCGAGCTACCGGGGCGATAAATAATCTATCTTTTTAGATCGTTTCCCGCCTAACAAATAAGCGTTTATCATGTCCTAGGTGAATTATAATTACAATATTTATGTAAAAATGCAAAAGCATTCTTTATGGCATGTAAAACAGTCATTTACTTGCGCTAGATACATATAAGGGTATATGGTTGTGTATTTACTTTAGTTTTTGATAAGATTCCCGATAAATTTTCTTAAAAAATAAATAATAACTCAACTAAACATATCTTTCCATAACATATAACAAGAACTAAGAAAATTTTACAAAATATTAGACAGGTTGTGATGTAATATTAGAAAAAATTTGTTATTAAACTTTAATTAATCAGCAATAAAATTTAATCTTTATTTTTAAGCTTTGTTATCAATATGGCACTAATATATTTGCTTCTCAACAAGGAATGTTGGGTGCACCGGGGGTGAATCATTAAAAAATTTGCTTAGTTCCCAATAATTTAATTTACATGTTTGTTTCTAGCTTGGTGCATTCAGACAAGCAACACAAGATATTGATGGGCTTGGATTTACGTAAAAAATTTTTTTATAATAAATTTTAATTAAATTATATGGAAATATTTTATTTTAAAGAGAAGAAAATATTCGTGCTAGTTCAGAATTTACTCCTTGGTATTCTGGCCAAAATAAATTTGCTTCACAAAAGGGAACTGGAGGATTTTTAAAAGTAAATAAAAATTAGTCGGAACTCGTTTTAAATCAACCATTAAGAATTAAAATTTGTGCATTATATCGGCGTGTATCTCAAATATGTAGGAGTGCTGATTGGGCATTCTTCTACATACTATCAATAACAAACAAATTTTAAGCATGTACCATAAATTTAGGTTAATCAAATACAGTATAACCAGAAGTAAATCGAAAATGACTAAGGTGTCTCAAATCGGAACTGTCGGATATCGGAATCCCAATTCACCTCTGAGTGTAACCTCACTAGGGAACGAGCCGACAAGAAAACAAAATTCCCGATTTCGGGAATTTTCGACAAAAATAAAGTTCCCGATTTCTGGAATCGGGAATCCCATTTAACATAAATCTTATTATAGTTTTAAGACAAAAGAGTTTATGTATATTTAATTATAAAGTATGACTATAATAAACGTAAAAAATTTGCTTATATTAAATAATTAAAAAGGTACGTGATGTTCTTCCCCACACAACTGGTGGAAAAGAAATACCGGAAGACTCGCGATTAAAATCTGAAGGGATTGTGCCTCTTCAAGTATTAAAAAATAAAAAGAATTATTTTGAATTATTAATTTAAGTCTGGCACAAATAAATTAGCTTCACAAAAGGGAATGACAGGCTTTGGAACGCCTCGTAATACAATGACTAGAATGGGGTGGAAAAAAGAATGGTTTGTTTTACTTAGAATGAGCTTTTGGGAACTTCCGAATAAGCGGACCTAGTCCACTTGCACTTCTTGGCCTTGAAAAACAACCCTAATTTTTGAAAATAATACTTCTGGAAATCTCCGAATAAGCGTAACTTATCCACTTCCTCCACTCTCCCTTGTGAAAAAACCCAATTATTTTTCAAAAATAAGAATTCGAACCAATTTATGGAATCATAAGCGACCTTGATCATGTAATCAGTGATGCGAAAGTTCCAGCTCAGGAACTGGAGCCTGGAACCGATAAATTTCAGGAACCGGTTAAAGAACTGGAACCTGCAAAATTTTGGAATTCCCGCATCACTGCTTGTGATAGATTAATAACCAATTTTAAAATAATTTTCATTAAAATAATCCATTTCTAGGGTAGAGGAGTATGAAGCTGCTATGCGCGAGTGGGAAGAAAATCGTCCACCCGGTTCTGCATCAGCTGGATCGGATACGTAAATTGCTTCTTAAAAATTTAGTTTTAATTATTTAGTCATCCTTTTGAAAAATATAAGAGGAAATTTGAAGAAAGAGAGGTTGGATTATGTTAGATATTAATAAATAAATATAAAATTTAAAGTCATCCAAACTAAGTGATAGTGGAGATTCTGCTAAAGTTGAGACAAAACCAAAGGAAGAGGAAAAGAATGAAGAGCCGGCAGAAAAGGAGGTGGAAGAGGAAGAAGTTGAGGAGGAAGAAGTTGAAGAAGAAGAGGAGGAGGAGGAGGAAGAGGTAAATTTCAAACTAAGTGATAGAAAAAAACTACCGTATTTATTTGATTAATTTCGCTGGGAATTATTTTTTCAACCATTTCGTGGCATGGGGAATTATTCAAGGGAGGGGAATTATTCGAGTTTTGAAATTTGAACGTGTATTTGTATTGTATTCGGAGGTGGGGGATTATTTTTTAAACTCATCCATGGCATGGTGAATTAATAGAGGGTGGGGAATTAATCGAGTAAGTACGGTAAGTGACTACTAAAGTAGAATAGAAAATGGCAAAAATTGCAAAAACAAATAAAATAAAAATTTTTTAATTTTTAGGAGTGAATGCAAGGCAAACGAATGATGAAAATTGACTTAAAATAATCAAGAATTACACAATTAAAAGTAGTAGTTAATCATTAAATGAAATAAAGTAATTAAAAATTTGTTCGAAATCAGTTTTTGAAATTATCCTGCGTTAAATTATCCTGCGAATATATGGAAGGGTGTGGCAGAACCGAAAAGTTCCACAATCACGTGTCGGCGCAGAAGACCCATCAAACGACCCAAAACCATTTTCCTTATTTTTATTCTATTGTGCTTTCATACATATTGGCCCGACCTATCTTCTTTTAAGGGGTTTTTACTGCTGCGGAGAATGACAGGCATGCCCGCAGCAGCGATAATAGGAATAGGTACATGTTACTAGTGCAGAACCCAGCGACATTTGACTTCCTGCGAGACGCGTGCCGCAAAACGCCTTTTGCAACGCTTGTTTTGCACAAGCGCTCGCCGACACCCATAGGTACGGTGTTTGTTTTTTTAATCGTAACTTTGTCCAATGTTGTTATTTTAAACTTTTAGTAAAAATTTTTCTTTGTGGGTCTTGTCTGTGGGTCGTCTGTCACTACGCCCCAAAATCCGCACATACGAAGCCTGGGTTATGATAATAATTATTTCCATAAAAATTAAATATTTTTTTCTAAATTTTAATAATTTTAAATATACACAGACAACACAAAAATTTTTTGATAAAAATGCTTTTTAAAAAGCAAAAATATTGAATATTATGAATAAAAATATGAAAATTTTTTAATCACAAAAGTTCTTTTGTTTTCTTAAAGAGAACCGGGGTAATTATTTTTATATGAATTTCTAAGTAGAGCAATATATGCAGCAAGTCTTGGTGATTTCCATGGGTAATTAGCTCTTCTGGCATTCGACATACGTTTTGATTTGAATTGTTGAGTATCCTTTACTTCATTGGTAAATTTTGAATTGGTGTTAGGTTGGACCTTAAATGATTTGTTTAAATTAATGTTAAAAATTTAATGTAATTTATGTGATTTAGTAGTATATTTAGAAGGTAAGCAAACATTTCTAATTTCGTATTTTATTCCAAAAAGGAGATTTATGTTTCGGAACGAATAGGAAATGGAATGAAACTATTTTTTGTGTAAAATCCAATCGGACGAACTGAATATTCGATAAAATAATTTTATAATCTCTAGTTCAGAAAACTGGACATAAAACGGGAGAACCTTAGCATGACAAGGCAGAAAGAAATTACGAATACCGTAAATGCTCTAATAGAACCAGACTTTCTATTTGAAGATCACTCCCTAATATTAAGCACACATTACGAGAGGATCGAAAAATAGAAACACATGAGGTTTTATTAGAGCATTTACGATATTTCTGGTTGAAAGAGTATAATTTTTTTCTGATTAAAGAGTATAATATAATTTTATTAAATATTCTCTAACTAAATATTTGAAAGATGCACTTAAGCAACTCATATAATACAATAAAAATATTATAAATTTATTACAGTAATATTTTAACCAAAAAATTTTCTCACCAATTCTCTCCCAACCTCTCCAGCCAAAGCTCTCTCCCGTGAGAATTTTAGTAATTGTCTCAAATCCACCATTAGTGCAGGATGTGATGCCATACTTAAAAATTGTTCTTCTTCCTCATCCTCAGGACAATTTCCAGGCAAAGTATTAGGGCTAAAAGCATTATTAGCTATTCCAACTAGCTGAGGAGATATTTCTTCATCAGCTGACCGACCGGTACGGAATAAAGCGCCACGGATAGCTTCTGTCTGTGTTAGTGTAAGGAACGAGACGTAAAGTAATAATAACATAATTGAATATATTTCTGAAATAAATAAAGTATAAATGAGTTAAATATGAGATGATAAAAAGATTTATAAAAATAAAACGAATGAAGTAAATTCTGTAAAAATATTTGAATAAAGCGGATAAAGAGTTACTTGCTAGTTGAATTATTTAATAATTTTAGTTATCAAAAACATGAAAAAGGAGATGAATTGAGGCATGTATTATGGGAGAAATTATGCTTTAGCTTGTGCGTAAAGGAAGAATTTCCGTTTCTTGGATGCAAATCTAGCCAAAAACCAAAGATTTAACTAAAAACTTAGGGTCTGTAAAAATCGGGAGTAGAGGAAATAAGAAAAAATCGGTTCTGACAAACCTAAATTGTGTACATGTACCCCTATTTCCGATAGTATTTATTAAATTTATGCCATAAATTGAGGGCATCTAAAATTAATTTAGGTAGTTTATAAGAAAGAAAAAAGTGTGCTAAAATTCAATGACGGAATGTTTAATAAAATAATAAAAACCGAAAAATATTTTTAATAAAAAAAGGGATTATCTATTAGCTAGTTGGCTTCGTTGTTGTTGATTTAATTTAACGCAAGTGATATACTATTAAATGAAACCATAATAAATGTTTTTAAATTATAGTAAAAATTATTAAGATTATGTTTATTAAGGTTATGTTTTGTTGCTATTATATAATTAAATAATACACATGTACTTTAAATACTCATGTCAATGAAAAAGCTAAAGGTTTAGGGTTAATCACAAAAAAAAGAAAACAGAGTCATAAAGCTTTATTAATTGTTTAAGTGAAATTGCCTACATGGTTGTCTCTCAGGCAAATTTTATCTCATAAACCCTAATTTTATGCATTTTTAAAGACTTATTTTGTAACTGTTTTTAACCAATATTAAACTTAAGTTTTATCTTGATTTTTCCAGCCAAAGGGTTATATCAAGAGCTCTAACTTTAAATTTAGGGTAACCAATAGACTAATCACGCAAACATTTTATGATACTAATAAAACAATAGGGAAATTTTCCTGAGAATGTAATTAAAGGTATGTTTTAGAATATTTCTCCCTCATTTCTAGGGAAACACACATGGGGTAAACTTTCTGTTGACAGTACAATTTTTATTTCGTGTGGTTCGGGTTATAAGAAGAAAAACGATATAACTGATTTAATAAAAAATATTAAAAAAACTATAAGTTAACATAGATTCTGGAACTTATACTTGGTAAATACAAAAAATATTTGGCGAATTTAAACCTTTTAATGCCTAACTTTATATGTATGTACTATAGTAACTAACACACTCGAAAGTTATTAAGTTAAACGACGCGCGGCCATAATGGCCCAAAGTCATAACTTGCTTCAAGATTTTCAAATTTTACCAAATTTATTATTAAACAATTACTCTCATCGAGCTAAAGAGATTGGTACAAAAATTGATAAGGACCAAGAATTTTCCAGCTAGTTATGGCTTTGCGTTTTTATGGCCGCGCGCCGTTTTGGGCTGTATCCTGTATTTTTGTCTTAACTAAATTTTCATCATCTATTTAAAAATACCATTTCTGAGTCAATTAAAAACAAAAATTTAAAAAATATTAAGCACTTTAATATTTTTTAAATACTAAAAGGCTTCTCTTTTTTTAAATATTTTCATATTAAATTAGTTAGTTCAAAGGCTTCCTCAATTTTTTTAAATTAAAAATTACTTAATGAAAAAAAATTTCCTTTAAAAAAATTTGAGAATAAATATAAAGTTTTTGTCTTAAAAGAATTTTTAAATGCGCAAAGAATGTCTGAGAAAAGATGAGGAAAAAACATTTTAGTAAAAAAGGCGGAGCTTCTTTTTAAAATTAAAAATTCGTAAAAGGAATGATGTGAAAATTAATTTAAATAAATTTTAATTTAAAATTATACGAGAATTTATGTGCACTTAAAAAAGGAGAAATGGATGAGAAAATTTTTGGATAAAGTGATGAGAAAAAATTGAGAATTTTTTAAAAAATTTTTAGTACAATTAGAGTTCAGCCAGACTCACTTAAGTGTAAAACATCTCACGTGATTATAAAATTCATACTTAATTGGCCAATGGTACTTAAAATATACATATTTTATTAATAATTATTGTATCCGATTGTATTCAATTTACTATAAGGAAAATAAAGGGGCAAATATCAGTCGAGAATTTTCGTCATTGAAATTTTTGTCTCAAAAGTTTCCTAAACTGTCACCAAAAAAATTTCATAATATTTTTGTTTTATTGGTTGTATGTTTGTGTAGCCGAAAATTTTGGGACGTAAATTTTGGACAGGAGCAGGTCAATTCCCAAAGCATTGAACAAGATACCGCCGACAATTTATCAACGGGGAATTTTATTCATGAATGTTTAAAGTTGTTGACAAACAGACAAACTTTTTCGAACAACTTCCCCCGCTGTTGAAACAAATAAATCCGAAGTTGGAACAAAATTCCCCGGTATCTTAAGCGGTGGTCCCTTGGAGTATATCTATTTCTAATAGACTCTAAAAAGTGTATATATAAAAAATTAATAAAATATTGGCTTAAATTGTTGAAATTATAAACTAGATGTTTTAAAAATTAAAGTGAAATAATATTAACGAAAAATTGCAAAAAATGCGGAACAATTTTATGTATATTTTCGAAAATTTTCAAAAAATGAGATCTATTAAACATATATCCTAGATATTTAAATAGGTTCTTTAAAGTATTAAACTTAATAAAAAATTAAAACTTTTTAAATTTAAAGAAAATTCTTCTCTAAAAGGAAGGGATTTAGTAAAACTTACTTTTTACTTCCCTCTTCCAAATAAAAAATATTTTATTTAAAAATCTTTTTTCCCAAAGTTGCATTTTTCGAGACCAATATTTAAGAGGAAAAATGTAAAACTTAATGGAAATTATTTTAAAATGATGTTTTAGTCAATTAAGAAATATTTATTTCTTTTAAATAATTTATATTAAATATGTTTTAAGCGAAAAAAGAAGATGATGAAAGCTATTTTAGTAAATGATTTTTGACTTTTGATAATTAATTGAGATTATTTTTAAAATTTAATATTTATTGCATTTTAAAATTCAATATAATATGAATAATTAATTATTTTATTAATTAATATAAAAAATTAATTAAGAAAATATTATTATATCAGTAGGGCTCGAATTTATGTTGAAATAAAATTGGAAAATATGGCCATAATATCTTTAAATAAAATGGCAAAATATTAAAAAAAAATGGCAATAATGAGCTAAATATTGAAATAAATTATCGGTTATTCACTAGAAAACACCCCAAAAAAGTTGAAATTTAACATAAAAAAATTAATCACGTTTTTAAAATTGCACATTTGCTTAAAAGTTCGACGATGTGAGTATTTGTACACTCTTGGACATTTTGAGATTGACAAACTGAGGATGGATAATTTTGTGGGATGTGCTCAATGTGCCATTTTTGTGGGGTTTGTCCAGCTGGACATTCTAAGGGCGGAACATTTTGGGATGGGCCTTTATGGGGATTTTTGTTCAGTTACACATTTCGAGGTTTTTGTTAATTGGGAAAGTGAATAATAGGGCACAATATCCCAGTCTCAGCGCCGAAAGCGAAAATTTTGAGAATTTTGGTTAGCAAGCCGCTAGATATACTTATGTTGGAAAAAATATATTACAATTTGAGAAATGTCTGATGAATTGAGCTCAAATCCGTTGTTTCTTAAAAATCTTTTGTTTCAGGAGAGCTATTGTCACCTATTGAAACATATTTTAGCATTATGCAACCTAAAATAGTAGAGAAAACTAGAGATCGGACCGTACCGTACTACGGCCGTATTTTTCGGTATTTATCGGTATTCCGTATCGGTAGTACGGCACGGAATACGGTACGGCAAAATTTTGAAATTGATCGGTATTTTTCGGTATCGGTATTTTTCGGTATTCCGTACCGTTCTACGGAACGGACAAGAAACAAAATACCGATAATACCGATCGATAAAAATTTTTATAGTTTTATTTTATTTTAAGCGAAAAAAGGCAAAAATTTTCGCCTGTGGCGCTAAAAAGGAAGAAATCTTGCTTCTTGGACCTACATCTCCTCAAAATTTTCGCCTGCGTGTGTTTATCGCCACAATTTATAAATAAAAATAATTATTTTTAACTAATTAATTTTTTTAAATACGGTACGGAATACCGATAAATTTTTATCGGTATTTATCGGTATCGGTATTATACGGTATTACGGTACGGAATACGGTACGGAACAAAATTCCGATCTCTAGAGAAAACTAATAATATTTAATAAAATCCTAAAAGAATCAAAAAAGAAAGATTAGCGTCATTAAATAGTTTTAAATTTTTTTTGTTTATTCTGTCATATTTTTAGATTAGAAAATGATCTAAAAATAAACTTAATCTACATACTACAAAGTTTAATACTTTCTATTTAAAGTAAATCTTTTAATGGATATTTAAGTAAAGTAATCCACAAAAATTATTTTTGGATTCATAAAAGAGAAAAATAAAATAAAAGGATTGATGATCCTTGGAATTTTTTGACAGAATTCGGAAAGGACCGTTCCTGAAAATATTATTACAACGATTGACAATAATTTAATTAAATCGGGCTTGACTTCGTTTTATAAGAATAAATACTAAAATAATATTTAGTACTTAAAAATTTTAACAAAATTCCAAATGCCTCTTGTCCTAAAAATCAAGTTTAAGTCGTAATCGAAAATTTTTCTCTTAATCGTAATTCAGCTCTAAAAATGCCGTATTTCGTAATTTATAACAAATATTTAAATTAATTTAAAAAATTCAATATTTATTAATAATTTAAATTATAAAACGTAGAGATGTCCGAGACTCTTGGTCTTGGAACCAAGACTTTTCTTGGTTTTTTCGGTCTTGGTCATGGGGTGTTTGGACATTAATTGTTGATTCATGAGCTTCTAAACATTTTCTGTGTGTTCCATATTTTTCTTATTTTTCTGACTATAATATTTTGTTTTCTGAAAATTCGGTAACGGAAATCTTTATATAATAATAAAAGGGCAACTTTTTATTTGTCAATGAATATGTACTTTTAATTAGGTTAAGAAAGTACAGCAATTTCATAATTAATTGCCATAATTTCGACAATCAATTATGAAATATTTGCTAATCAAATAAACAAGTGCATATTGACAGACAAACAAAATGTCGCACTTTACTTCCGATTCCCATCAACTCTCGACTCATTTTATTTTTTCATTTATTTTTATTTAATATTTTAGACCCCCTCCCTTTCCACCCTTTTAATTAAAAGATTTGGACTTAGAAAGACTCCCTTATAATTGTTGTCCATTTTTATTATAAAGACTTTCTTTACATATCATTCAAAAGAGCTTGGGAAGTTGAGTCGTACTAGAGGTTGTTGAAGTTGATCTGATACCTTTGGACTGAGATATACTAGTTCCCGAAAAATTGAAAAACCTAGGGGGCTAATGTTGACCCACGGGAGGCGCGTTCCGCAAAACCCGACGAGAAGCGCGGGTTTTATTTTTGAGCTGTAACTTTTTAAACTTGTTCAATCATGATACAGAACTTGGATTTCCGTTAAGCAATAAATAACATTCCAATTTACACTTAGGCAAAAAATAAACTATCAGACCATAATTAATATATTTTTAATCTTCATACATACATATAATCAAAATTCAGATATTTAAATGTATTCTAAAATTTCATTTTTCCCCTTACTTCTTTTGCTAATTTTCTTGATCTTCATTTTTTATTTCCCAAAAAAGGTAGTCAGTCAACGATTCGTTATTGAACATAGTTCTTACAGTGCTAGAAAAAGCAAACATGTATATCAGAAGTTTCCTTATGTTAGACTTTTAAAGATTAATTTAAAAAGGGAAGATAAGGAAAATTCAAGAGGCGAGATTGTTCAAATAAAAATGTTGGAAGTTGAACTTGAAATAGCAAAGAATATTTTATTAAATAAAGTTTATATGCAACCAAAAAATGAATATTATAGACGTGGATATTCTTATTATATGTATGATCCACAAGGAAAAATAATACTTAAAGAAGATTTTATGAATGAATTTAAAGAAGGAATAATTATTAAAGATAAAGAAAATTCTGTAGGTTGATTTATTCTAATTATTCCCTCATTTGATTAATTCAACAAGAAAAATATTTATTGAAAGATGAACAATCGCCTAAATATCACCAAATTAGTCTTTATAATTTAAAGATTTAAAAGGGCCGTGGACTGGGCGATTTAAACTTTAATTTAAAACGATTTAAAATTTAACCTTACTCTATTATTAATTATTATAAAATAATTTTATTTATTTTAAAAGAAAGAAAAATTTTATTTTATTTAAAAAATATGTATATAGTGTAAAAGTTAAAAGCTAGGAAAAGCATAAAACATTATATACTAAAATTATCAATGTAAAAGATTGGCCGATAAGATCTCAATACCATCTTTTCTTCTTTCTCGTGTTTCTTCTCTCAAGTTCAATTTCTTCCGGCTTTTCTTCCATGTCCTTGACAGGCACCTGTATTTCCTTAACGGGCAGAACCGTACTTAAATTTTTGGAACAATCCACAACAATATCTAAAAAATTATTATCTATCGCAATTAATTTGACTCTTTCGAATACTATCGAGGGATTAGTGAGTGATATTGAAGGATTAGGAGATCTACTGATACTTGTTTATATTCTATGTGTTTTCCTCAATCCTTCAAATCTCTAATCCTTCAATATCACTCAAAATCACTGATATCCCTGTAAAGCACTCTCAGCCCTTTCAAAACCCGCTCCTAATCATTTGGGATTCAACCCGAGAAAATAATGATATAAAATCATAGTTATACTTAAGTCATATAGAGGATATTAGTCGGAGTGGATACCATGTAAAAGTATTTTTAGAGAATTCACATTTTTGGAGATATGGTGTTCAGATTTTCTTACTTTTTACAAATCAAAAGAATAATTTTCAAAGTTTTTAAATTGAAAATTGAAAATTATTTACAAATTTGTTCATTTTAAGAAATTAATGAATATTTTGCCAATTTTCAATGATCTAATATCAATAACAACTAAAGATGTTGAAGATTCTGAAGAATACATTCGACACAAAGTGATTTTTAAATTAAATTAATAAAAAGGATGATGCACAAGGGGGACTTCTTAAAATTCCGGGAGAGTATCATTGTAACACAAGAGGCCATTTAAAGAGCTATTAGCTTTCCATTATCTAATCAGAGCATTACTAGTGATGGTCGGGAGTTAAAAAACCCCGAGAGTCGAGACCGAGACCGGGAATCGACCCCGAGACCGAGTCCCGGGTCGAGACCGAGAGTCGAGACCAAGAGATTAGGAGGGATACCCTCTCTCAGTGTCACATGTCCCACGGGACATGTGACACAACAAACCACACAACAAACGTTGCAAGGCTTTGAAGCCATAAATCCTCTTATTTCATCCATTTCCTGCGCCGCAGGCGAAAATTTTGAGAATTTTGGAGGTCCTTAAGTCAGATTTCTTCCATTTTTTGTGCCACAGGCGAAAATTTTGAAAAATTCATGATTAAATTAAAATTTTTAATGTTTTTTTCAAGTTTAAAAAATTAAGAAAAAATAAATTAAAAATTTTAAAATCAAATTCAAAGTTTAAAAACGTTTATTTCCGAAAAGGAAAATTTTCACAACCTCATTTCCACCTTAGGATTCGAACCCAGCACTTACGAAGTATTTAAGTGAGTGAAGTCAGTCAACTTAACCACTCAACCATCAAAAGCAAATGGGAGAAATTATAAATATATTCCTTTCCCCTTTCCTTCAAAAAGTTCAAAAAATTTCCGTCATTAGGGGTGTAAATTTAGTCTCGTTTCCGAGACTAAAACACCGAGACCGAGACCGAGAGCTCAAAAAACCCGGGAAATTTCCCGACTCGGGAACCGAGACCGGGAATCCCGACCATCACTAAGCATTACCACTAACTTATCAATGGAAAATAACTAATAAACAAGTTTGTGAGCTAATGGAAATGGTATCTCTAGTACAATGGCAAAAGTACTAAAGCTATGTAGATACTGTTTTCATTCAGTATCACCGTGATTGTATACCACAAAGTGTACTAAATTTCAATTAATTTTTGTACTTTATTATTAAATTATTGTTAATTTAAGAATTTGGAATATTTTCTTCTACTGGTCTATGGAAATCTTGAAGGCCACTTTGGCATGAGAGAGTTGGCTAATGAGAAAAGAAAACTTGAAAGAAATGTTTTTAAAAAAGTAAACGTGAATGGAGTAAATTCACTTTTTATTTTAAATACATAAATATTATTCCGGTTACTTCAAATTAATTAGTCTATTTATTTATACAAATTTGGATGAACCTTTAATAACAAATAAAAATAAAAAAATAAATTCAATTTCAAATCCAAGTCTTCAAAAGAAACAAAATTCTCACATTGAAATTTGTTTAAAATTTCAACGGCCTTACAAATATATAATTCAAATATTTCCAACAAATGTTTGGTCAACAGATGACCGAATGGCTTTTAAATTTTTTGCTAACATTGACCAAGTTGAGAAGCCAAAATGCTTCTCTCATGAGATTAACGAAAATAATGAGGAAGAATTAAAAATTGTGAAAAATTTGAAAAAAGGGTTGACAATAAGAATTGAATATGGAAATTTTGAAGATAGTCTAAATGGGGAAATAAAAGTAGTTTATGTGGATACAGAAGATTACGCGAATTTTATTGAAATTCAGCCGTTATTTGAAGAAGAAACGTTTGAAATGATTAGAGATAATGTACAAAATGAAATTAATGAAGAGCCTGTTTATGATTTAAGCATGTTATTCAATGAGCAAAAATGAATGTATAAAATAAAAAATGAAAAAATAACAAAAATAAATGAATCAAAAACACAATAAAAACACATAAATTAAGAAAAAAATCAAAAATCAAAAACACAAAATAACAAAAAACACATAAATATAGAAAAAAAAACAAAAAAAAAACAAAAAAAAATAGATAAAAATACAAAAAAATCACTTTAAATTGTATACTCGTGAACTGAGAAATTAACTTTAACATTCATCAAGAAAATATCCTAATTTAAATTAAGACAGCAATTCGAGATCCCTAATCTCTCATGTTGCTAGTATAACAGTCAGAGGTGGATCGGAACAGGTCGGAAATCGGAAGAGCCGGAATTCGTAACTGGCTCAAAAGTCGGAACTCGGAAATCAAAATTTTTTGTTCGGAAATTGGAAATCTGAAGGAAAAAACGCCGGAAATCGGAATTTTGGTCCACCGCTGATAACAGTAACGAATTATTAATTTATAATTTTAATTCCGTAGATTATAATTTTAATTCAGTATTTAAATGTATAAAGTGTACATAGATAAAGTATTTTAATTCAAAATTCTTGAATTTTTTCTTAATTCAAAATTCTTTAATTTTTTCTTAAATTCTTTACATTTAATTTCTCATATTGTTAATTTGTAAATTGGAAAGGCCAACAAAAATGAAACGATATTAATCATTAAGCCTGATGTGAAAGCTCGATTTTAATTTTTGAAAAAAATTCCTTTAAAATTTTACAATTTACTATGATTAAATTTCACACAAGCTCTATGATTTTAACACGGGAATTGTCATATTATTTGAATCAAATTTTCAATCAGATTCGAATGACGTCAAAATCGTGGCGCGCATTTGGGGACCTGAATCTCTAAATTCATTTAGGGACCTGAATTTAGAGAACCGACTTTTCTGGATCCGACATTTGGGGACGAAATTGAATTTTTGAAGTATTTTGTGGCCCCGAACTCGGTGCCTCGTAACCGTTCATATTGATAAAATCTGGATACTGATTCGAATAAAAAGAATTCGATTAAAATTATTTATTCAAATGAAAAATATTTTCCCAAACAGTCATCATTATTTAATATTTTTTGGTTATAAAATGTTCATTAATTTACTATAATGTAATTTGCGTTGCTCCCATAAAAGTTTAATTTTATCTATTCTATTTAATCTATTTAATTTAATATTAAATGTATAAAATTAAATATTTAATTAACAAATTTGGTACTATCCGATTATATCCTCCACATAGTCTGAAAATCTTTTTCCGCATGTCTGTCTTTCTTTCTACTTCCTTCTTTTTCCACTCATAGTGATAAAATGGGCAAAGATTAATGTCAAGCAAATAAAGATTACACCTTATAAAGTGCAAAATAAAATATAAGTGAATATACCGACGAAAATTATTCGGTTCGTTTTATGGTTCGTGTAGGGTTAACGAAATGTTTGGCAATTTTTTCGGGTAGCCGAAAAAATTAAAATATACATAAGTCCTTCTTATAAGGAAAAATAAAATAAATTAATCATTGACCATTTTTTAGCATTATGAGAGGAAAAAGGAGGGAGGAGAAGGGAAGACAAACATTAGAGGAGCGGACGATGGGGGGAGATAACGGTAGCACCGAAAATTTATAGAATGATTGCAAAATACTTTACAATTATTTTAATTCTTGCTTTCTTAATTTATGCTGTAGCTAAGGATAAAAATGAAAATAATGCGCAGTATGTTTAATGAATGTTTACTTAGAATATTTGAATATGGTACATCATGATTAGGGATACACTTCTTTTGAGTCCTCAAGAAAGAGTCCGCACAGCTAAATCTGGATGATCGATATCGATGTATATGTATGTATAGTTGCAGAAAATGGATTTCAGGATGAGCAATTAAGAGAAATATCTGTGGATGGATTACGAGGGATTTATTGGAATAAATAAGGATTCATACCTATTCATTACCTTTTTAATTCCTTCTAATGCTAAGATACATCCTTATTCCCCCGATATCATTTTTGATCTTAGAGTTGTTTTTATGCCAAGACATAATGTTAAGGGCTTAAATCTAACGTTAACCGAAAACTAAATTCTTAAAACTGAGGTTAATTTTACATCCCTGTCTAACTCATCAGGATATTTCAGAATTTTCCAACCCTTTTTAACTAAAAAATATAAATTAAAAGATCAAAATTAGTTAATCATATCTATACTTTAGTGTTTTTCTAACGGATATGACTAAGACACATCATGCAATTCCATACTTAAACATGGACCAATGCATGCTTCGACCTGGACAGAAGGAACATAGCTCGTACGGCTTGATCTTCTTCAGACCAAACTTTTACCTCTGTGACAAGTTAATTGAAGAATCACATAAATAAATCAACAAAATATTTAAAGATTGTTAATTTGTTACCCAAGCCAAATGGTTGGAAATAATACACGGAATGGAATTATTACATCAATTCCTTATCGTCTCCGAGATTATGAACAAGTGAGATTATAAACAGACGGAGATCTTGCTTTTGCTACTTAAGATTAATTAAGTATAGATAGAAGTTATCCAAGCATAAGCTACGCACTTTTCCTAATACTAGAAAGGAGTAAAACTGCACCTTTGCGGCACGAGTCTATGTCATGTCTGTTCAGTAGAGATGTCCGAGACCGAAATTTTTCCAAGACTCAAGACTCAAGACCCAAGACAAAATTTTTTCCAAGATCAAGACTCAAGACCAAGACCAAAACTCCAAGACTCAAGACCAAAAATCAAGACCAAATTTTTAAATCCCATAGGTCAAATTTTTGGTTTATTTTTTGTTATTTTGATACGATCACAGTCAACTTCAGCACAATTATCTATAATTTCGAAAAATTTATGCGAAATTCAAAGAATTTCGGGGAATTTATTTGTGTGGAAAATCAATAAAATAGGTTATTATTTCAGAGGATTTGGGTGGATTAACTGGATATTAGTGATATCAAAGGATTAAGAGGGATTGCCGTGGGATTTAGTGAATTATGAGGAATGTCGTGGGATTTTACGTCTGGAACGCCAAGGTAAAGCCAAAATTTTGGTGAAACCCAACGTTAGCCCCTCCCATTCGAAATCGACCCCCTGGCTACGCCCTTGGATTAAGGAGGATATCGAGGTTTAAAGGGGAATTTAAGTGGATTATGAGGGATCAAAAGGAATAGTATGAAGTTGGGTGACCTGGGTGATTAGGTGATGGTGGGTGGCTGCTGATATCCATCCTCTATTTTATCCATATCTTTTTGCGCGCATGCGAAAATTTGTACAATTTTGGAAGGCCAAGAAGCCAGAATTCTTCATTTTCCAGCGCCGCAGGCGAAAATTTTGAGAATTTTGAAAGGCCGTATGCCAAAAAATTCACTTTTTCAGCGCCGCAGGCGAAATTTTTTGAATTTTGGGACTCAAGAAGCCAGATTTCTTCCATTTTCTGCGCCGCAGGCGAAAATTTTGAGGATTTTGGATGGCCAAGCACTAGGTCCAAAAAGGCCAAAAAACCAAGACCAAAAAATAAAACCAAGACAAGACCAAGACAAACACCCCAAGACCAAGACCAAGACCAAGACCGAAAAAAAACCAAGAAAAGTCTTGGTTCCAAGACCAAGACCAAGAGTCTCGGACATCTCTACTGTTCAGTGTCACGAGTGTTTCATGACAATGCTACATCTATCTTTCAATATTCGACTTTATTCCCAATAATTACTCGCTTTTTAAAAAGACACTTCATGAAACGGACTTTATAAAAGAAAAATTTTATAAATTTTAAATTCTCATTTAAAAGAATATCGTCACAAGTGCATGTGAACTTAAACGAAAAGAATTTTGTGATAATCTGAAAAACAAAGATTTGTGTTCCATTGGACAACCAGCCTCAACTATATGGCATGGGATTATGTTTTCAACTGAGTATATTTTGGAAGAGATTACCTTTGCTACAACTGTTATATTGTCAATTTCAAATCAAAAGTTTGATTTTTGATGAATATTTTTACCTTAATCGGTCAAGCTCTAAGTGCTTATCAGGTTCTCAAAATTGCAGACTTTTCATGTATTCATAAGAAATGTTAATATAAGTAATTAATGTGTCCTTGCTTTAAATTATTATAGTGCTCTTTTCCCTATACGTCTAGAACACACCTTATAAAATCTAACCTGATTTAGAATCGTAAAATAAACTTAAAAAGCTTTAAAATATCATTTAATCTAGATACACAATAAATAATACTCTACATTTTAACATCGAATTTGGCAGAAAATCTGACATATATACACATGTCTACATTGCAAAAAACGATCTTGAACGTTTGTTTTTCTCGAAATAAATATACCGTCCCTTCTTTCTCTGTCCCATTAAATCCTTCATTAAATTAAAGTCCCATTAAAGTTCAAGTCCACCAGCTTACTTTTAAATTTTTTTTTCTACGAAAATTTAGAGGCATCCCTAAGTTTAGATAATGGGTGTCCATCTGAGGCTTAATTCGTATATTTTTGAGAGATTTACATAACTATTATAATATCTTACTAAATTTAAAAATATTATTACAGTAAAATATGAAAAAATAAATGAAGTTTTTCTTGGGCAAGATCTGAAAATTGCTCGTGAATATCTATCCAAAGTAAAGAATGGTTCATATTTACACAAATATTCTGGCCTTTGGGCTCTGGGATTGGATATGTTACCATCAACGGCACAACGCTTCATAAATCTTTTTGTTTACCGCGATTGTGGTTGTTCTATTAATGTTTGGGTATGCTAATAATATTTTTTGAAAGTTCGATGTGTTTGAGACGATTTATAAGGAAAATTATCTAAGAAGTCATAATACACATAAGGATAGTTAAAATTTTGATTCTTATTCAGAGTTGCGTCGTAATTACGAATTACGATTACGAATTACGGCGTTTTTTCAGTTACGAATTACGATTACGAAAAAAATTTTTAAATTACGAATTACGATTACGAAAATATGGGGAAAAATTACGAATTACGAAAATAATTTTGCCATTAAATTTTAAAATGAAAAGGGGAAGAAATATTTGAAATATTTATATTTTCTCTCACTGGTACTTTTGTTTATCGGTGGTTGAGTGGGTTAAAAGTCAAGCTTCACTTATTTGATATTTTGTTAGGTTTGGTTCGAATCCATGTGTGGGAAATAATATTAAGACAATTCATTTTTTCAAAAATAAACGTTTTTA